AAAAAAAAAAAAAAAAAAAAAGTCAGCCCCCAGCCCCTCCCTGGCCAGCCCTTCTTGGTTTCCCTGCTCTGTCCCCACCCCCTGTGGCTGTCCGAGCTTCACTGCATCAGAAATGGAGCCAGCCACACCCCAGGACCTCAGCAAGCCCAGGAGTGGGTCATTACCTGCGATGATGGCCGGGTTGTTCTGTCCTCCCTCTGGTCTCACCCAGGCTTCCACTGTGAACGCCTCCCTGGGGATGTCAGCCAGCAGTTCTGGACGCAGCAGCAGCCGCTCCCACCTCCCAGAGAAGTACAAGACGGGCAGTCCTCCTTGGGGGTTAAAGGTCTCGGCTTCCCAGTCAGGGCTCCCTCCACCATTTTGGAGGCTGTCCTCCAAGGGGCTGCTTTGAACCCTGCCTATGAGGGGGTCCTTAGGTCCGTGCTGGAAAGACTGAAGAGAGACACTGGGGTCTCCAGGCACATCTTCTGCCTGCCTCCTCACCACTTGCCTAGGGTGCCTGGCCTTGGCCGGGCCCTTCCTCTGGGTGTCTCCTCCAGCTTCCTGCAGGTGTGCAAAGGTGGTGATAATGGTGGCTCTGGCTGAGCTTTCCCGAGATACAGCCTTACCTAGAGACTCCTCAGATCCTTCGTTGCCAAGATAAGTGTCATCATCTCCTAGCAGCTCAGCTTGCCCAATAGGACCATCCCCTACCCAGGGGGCAGCTGGCTGCTCAATCTCCCTCCTCGCTTTTGCTGTATTTTCAGTCAGATCTTGGGAAAAGTGGCTCACACCCTTTCCCTCCGTGTCTGGTGTATGGCATCCTGTGTGATGAGGTCCCTGCTCCCCCACAGGGAAGGGCCTCAGGTAGCTCCCAGGGCTGTTGGGATAGACTCCAAAGAGGTGATGCTGGGGAGCAGCTCTGGGTCTTTGAACCTTAGCGCCCAGCCAACAGTGTTCACCTTCCAGGGGCAACTGCTTCAGCTGTCCCGTCCGAGAAAAGGGTTTCTTGGGAGTCCAGCCGAGCTCAGAGTCGGCGGTGCTGAAAGCCCAACCAGCCAGGATCACCAGGCTTAGTCTCAGGACCTTGAAAGACATCATGCCTCCCTCAGCTCTTCTCATAGAGCCAGAAGTCAACTTCTGGGTACCACACCAGAGTGACGGAGAGTGCAGAAAGAGATGGCTAGCAGTGGACTTGCAGTCACCAGCGCAACTGTTTTGTTCACAAACCAAAGTTTTTCAAGTAGCCCCAAATGAGTGCCTCTTCTGGCTACCTGTGGTGGAGAAGTATACTAGTATGCTATCCCACTGTGTATGATTCCCTCACACTACTCCTTTGACCTCTCTTCTACCTCTATTTTAGTCCCTGCAGAAGAAATTAATTGCTCTTGTTTCCTTTGAATTTCTTCCCAGAAAACTCAGATTTCTTCTTTTTCTTTGCCCCTCGATAACTCTTTCCTTCTCTGATACCAGAAGAATATGACCTAAGCCAAATTCTCTTGAATACACACTCGCAAACACATACTCCTGGCTACCTGAAGTCATTCAAAATAAACTCATTCCCTAATGTTCATTTCTTTCTTTTCTTCCTTCCCTAGATGTTACCTTCTTTTTTTGTAGCTCTTAATCCAAAAGATGTTCACCTTAAAACAAGTGGCTAGGAAAACTTTTTCATATAGACACAAAATTTGATGGTTATTGATGAAAAATGCACAAAGAAACTGGGGGCACAGAAATCCAAGCTGGTACTTAACTTTCTCTCTCCAGATGCCTTCAGTCAGATCCTCATCCAGCTTCTAATCCACCCTTGGAGGTTAGATTCGTGCCTTCAGCTTGGTGTTCGTGGTTGTTGATGCTTGAAGGTTTTTCTTTTTAATCCCCTTCCAACTTGTTGGTATGTTCTAAGTCTCTGTAAAGTTCTCCTCCTGGTTGCCAGTCTGCTGTTCTCCTAACCAAATGAGTCTGACAGCCCTTGACTTCACCTTCTGGGAGTCTTGTGGGTCCCTGGGAAGATGGAAAAAGAACAAAATGAAAAGCACATATTCAAGGGACCTCGTCCTTCTTCCAGCCTCTCCTGCTCCCCTTCTCTCCCTTTCTCTCTGCCTGTAATTATCTTCTTGTTTTTTCATTTAAAGACAATGATGTCAAAGCTAATAAGTTTGGAACATCACTCCACCTACTCCCTGTCCCCTCCTTCTTCCTGAAAACCTCCCCACCTCACAGAGGCACAGGGGACAAATGCAACCCTTGGTTTCCCCAGTAAAATCACGGGCTTTCTCTCTCAGCAGCCACAGCCTACACAATCAATAGCAAAAAATCAATACTGTTTTGGAGCACTCTTTCCTGTGTGTATTCTCTCTCTCTCTCTCTCTCTCTCTCTCTCTCTCTCTCTCTCTCTCACACACACACACACACATTTTGATCAGACCTGCCTAATAAGCCCACACTAAGCTTCCAGGAACCACTTACATCTTTCTTTTGTTTTGTCATAAACCTCTTATATTTTTTTCTTATTTCAATCGATCATTTAAAAGAACAATATTCCATATCCACTTTATATTGGACACTGGATGAGAGAAGAAATCAGTTATCTTGCTGCAAGTAGCATTAAGTAAAATTGCCATAGATTCATAGTACATTGGTCTTCCTTTTTGCAGAAGTTTCTCAATCTGAAGTTAGTAAAAGTCACCATATGCTGAGTGAGCAAATAAACAAATGAGATGCTCAAAGTAAGTAATTTACAAAAGTGAACGGCTCAAGGAATTACTTTTTCAATTGATCAAACATGAATGGATAGAATAGGGAAGTAAATACTTTGCTTTTTACCTCTGTCATGTTTGCCTAGATGCTTAAAAGCCAGCTTCCTTGGAGTTTCTACCCCTTACACACATGTGCATGTGCACAAACACATGTACACACACAGAGCAGGGCTCTGAATTTTGATGCACATAAGCAAGTTTGACCGTGGGTGGAGCAAAACAGGTACAGAAATGCATCAGGTCCTTCACTCAAAAAAATGAGAAAATCACTTACATTTTGAAAGTCACTGCCTGTGTTGCCCACATCCAAAACACGCAGCCCACAATACTTTAGAGTGGGATCCCACTATCTCCTCTGCCCTGGGTTTCCTCATTACCTCCTCTCACCCAGCTAATAACTGACTTACTTGCTCTTTAAAAGCTACGTATAAAACCCCCTAACCCTGGCGTGCTATTTCCCCGTGTAGCATCCGCAGAAGCCTCAAAGTCCCCAAAGAAGCTAGCAGCAAGCACGTGGATATTACTAAGAAGATACCCTCAAGCCTCAACTGCCTCTCTCTGCTTCATTGCCTTAGCTCCATTCACTTTTCTGACTGTGCTGCTTCTTTCCTGAAGCAGATCAGGAATAAAGATTGAGGCTTTGGGGTGGGGGAAGAATGTAAAGAAAGTCAGAAAAGCAGAAGAGAGAAAGGAGAGAGGAAAGAGAAGAGGGAGGGAGACAGAGAGAGAGAGAGAGAGAGAGAGAGAGAGAGAGAGAGAGAGAGAGAGACTGAAGAAAACCAGGAAGAGAAGGCTTAGTTTTAAAAGAAGGGAACATACTCAGGTAAGAAAAGGAGAAGGCAAAAATCCCGCTCCCCCATGCCACCCCTCGACCCTGTGATAAAGGTTTCCTACCATTCATTTCAGGAAGGAGGGATAACACAGCAAGGAAGAAGGATTCCGCCTGCTCTTCTCCCCCTTTAGTGTGTAAGTGATCTTGCATCCCCTATAGGTCTCTCCTGGCTCTCAGCTGCTAGCAATCCATTCATAAGGTTTCAAGAAGCAACACAAAACTCAAGCTTCCAGTTTAGTTTTTCTCTCTCTCTCTCTCTCTCTCTCTGTCTCTCTCTCTGTCTCTCTCTCTCTCTCCTTCATTCCTTTGCTCACCACTCTCCTTCAGCTCTTGGCAGTCCAAAGTTTAGAAAAAAAATGTTGAACCATTTCTGTGTTTTCCTCCTGTTGTAACTTTGGCTGTGACATCATAACCCTGCCCACCAACACCCCACCTCTCTCTCTTTCCACCCCCTCATCAGCCCCATACCCCCAAACACCCCCCCCCGAGGAGAAGGGTTCCTGTCAGTTCCAATGTGTGAAAACACAAAGCCACTAGAAGGTGCCCCCTCCCCTCGTGCCCCTCCTGTCTCCCCCTCCCTGCCTTACCCACCGCTCAGCCCCGGCTCTCAAGGCTTTTAACAATGATCCCATCTGTTTGACATGTGCGGAAAGGTGGGCTGGATTCAAAGAATCTGTCAAGTGAATCAGATCAAAAACACAGCACCCCCTCCTCAATTCCATCACACACACACACACACACACACAGACACACACGCACACACCCCAAACCCGAGCAAAAGTCTGAGAGAAGTCAGACTTACACAGCACCCACCCTCGATGCCAGGGAGAGAGACACCAAACATGCCAAGGGAAGCCCAAATTTATACATATATAAATTCTGTTGCTTATTTGTTTATGACAAACACCCACATCCCAAGTCCTCAACCCCTCTCCCTCAAACCCCGCCACTCGGCAAGTGCACAGATTTGAAAGCTAGTAGAATCTGTTTTGAAATCTCCAACGAGAGGGTTTTTCCCCCTTTTTTCACTCCAGAGCACTATCTGTGGCGATCAGACTCGAGCAGGGTTGCCAGCAAATGCAGGAGGCCCCTTCTAGGGTACAGGCTTTCAAACCAGCGAAGCTAGAGGGAATGAATTTAAGGACACACAGCAGGAGCTGGCTGAATTCATTTTATTTTGACGGGGGCAGGTGGGGGAGGAATATCATTTCTGAAATGCCCAAGGAATGAAGGGAGAGGATATGGATTTCTTAAACAGTTTTTGCAAGAGGAGCGGTGTCTTGCTCTGCAGGTAAATCTATAAGGCTAGAAATTGGAGCTTACAGATAGATAAACAAGGACCAGGACGAGAGGGAGAGGGAGGCAAAGGCAAAGGAAGAGAGGAGACAGGAGAGGGTATGGGAGAGGGCAAAGGAGAGAGAGGGGCGAGGGGAGAGAAATGGGAAGGAAGAGGGAGGAGGAAAGAAAGGGGAAGAGGGAGGGGGGAGGGGGAGGGGAGGAATGGAGAAGGGAGGGCAGGAGGACGGGGCACAGAGAAGAGTCTGGGAGGAGAAAGGACTGAAAGGGAGAAATAGGGGAGAGAAGAGAGAAAAACGACACAGAGGAAGGGAAAGAGAAAGAGGCGGTGAACCCCATAAAATATGGAGACCAGAAAGGCAGTCAGGTTCCTGGTGGGTGAACAGAAAGAAACCACCGAGCAGGTGGAGGGAGATCCTGTAAAATGGGGCAGGGAAAACAAAGGACACGCAGTCGAGGGGCCGTCTCGCTAGTGGCCGGGCACATTTTGTAAAAATCAGACTGCAAGGCTTTCACATCGCCTCCACAGGGAGACTCCCGGCCCCTCCTCCTTCCCCACGCACATCTCCTCCTCTCGCATCCACCTCCACCTTGCCGCTTTCACCTCTCCTTTCCTAGCACATCTTTCCCTGGAGAACTCATGGGTAAACCCAGATAATCAGCCACCCTGCTAAAGCACCCCACCCTTAAAAGCCCCTTTCTTTGTTCCAGCTGCAAAAGATCCTGGGTCCTCTTATCGAAAGACTGGGCTGTTTGTGACCATTTGCACATCATTTCAACCCAGATTCTGAGATGTTTCCTTTAAATCCAGGGTGTCAGGGGTGTTTGCTTATATTTACTGCCATGGTGGGGCTGGTCGGTTTTCATCAGCGTTGTCATCATTATTATTAGTGGGCTCTGAGCGGAGAAAAAAGCCAATACATGCTGTCGTTCACCTGCAGAATGGAGCATTAGCCGAGGAAGAGGTAGGGGGAGAGGGAAAGAGATAGAAAGAGAGGTAGGGGGAGAGGGAGGGAGGGGAGAGACAGGGGGACCCCTTAATATGGTCACTGATCTTCTCTGGCTTTCTGATTCCAAAATCTCATCCCTTGAGGGAAGAGCTCAGCTGGGAGCTGGCCAAGGAGCGTAGTAATAAAAGCCTCCCAGAACACAACCAAATGCAGGATCTATATATAGGAGCTGGATCTGTTTTAGCTACTTGCAGTCTAAAATGACACCCGGAAACAAACATTTCAGCAATATGTTTATTGGAATCCTATTCAGCTAGTGCTGGAAAGAGTGAGCTTCTCTGGAAGGTCTCACTTGGAGGCTTGGGTTTGTTGCTTTCTTGCCCCTGCCCTGATGCTCAGAGCTGGGAGCCTGCCTCTGTCCTTCAGGGGAAAACTTGAGCTTCTGCGGCAACCTATTATGACCCCTGCTTTGTGGATGAGGCAAAGTCACACAGTGAATGGCAGGACCAGACATAGCATCTACATCTCCCTGTGCCATTTGTTTTCCTCCTCTGGCTAAGAACTGAATCTTCACTAGTTCTGCTGGTCTGGCAGGCACATGTCATTGGATGGGAAGGCAAAATCAAAGGCTGGCCTCCTGCACTCCACATCTAGGCAAAAGTGCCCCACAAATATAAGTTAGTGATATGTGTTCTATACCTCAGAATCACAGAGCACTTAGAAGGAAATGTAAATATGGATTTCACGCTTCTCCCTGTGCATTTTGAGTTGAGAAGCCCCATCTTCTTGTCAAACTGTTCAGTGCTCTGTATGTCAGAAAATTCTATTTTCCCTGCAATACAATTACTATTATAAATTATTAGCAACGTTAGTGGTTGTATTTTGAAACTGTTTTTCATCCAAATAGATCAAAGTATTCTAAGACAGGTTAGACTTCCCCGCACCTTGGGGAAATAGTATGGTGGAGAGATCTATATCCCCTGGTGACAGGCCCTGTTGGGTGATGTTTTCTGAAAGATTCTGAGCCCTGGAATCATGTTATAGAGCCCTGTGGTTGGGGAAGAATTTAACAGTGATGGTGGATGCTACTCTTCCACCAGCAAATGAATTTTCCAAGGGGTTTAGGCTACAGATAGGATTGAATTTCCATCTGGAACCTCTTCAAGG